ATAGATACAGCACAGAATCCATCCTCAGTATACAGGCAGCAGAGGGGACTATACAGTATAGCTACAGTACAGAATCCATCCTCAGTATACAGGGAGCAAAGAGGGTTATATAATATAGGTACTGTGCGAGCCCATCCTCGTTACACAGGGAGTAGGGATTGCTATCTAATACATATACTTTACAGAACATCAGGAAGTGGTCAGAATGTAGTGTCCTTTAGACCCTGCAGGAAAAGGAGAGGGTCAGTCCCGTCGAGTTGTTCCCTGAGTAAACTGTCAAAAGTCATTTGGCAAAATGCCTCATCACCAGAACTTCCCAAGAAGCACCAAGACATCGCTTGGCTGGTGGTGACAAGGGCACTACCTGTGAGATCCTTCATGTATGCCCACTGCCCTCAAAGCAGCTTTGGGGTTGTAGAGACTATCACACATCCTCCTGGAATGTGCCTTTGCAAAGGAAGTCTGGAGAAGAATGCAGTGGCTGTTGGAACAGCTCCTTGACACAGGGCTCTGTGCTCTGCTCCCTAGGACTCACACCGAGACAAACATCGACTGCGCCTGGAAGACTATCAACTCTGTGAAAGCTGCTCTTTGGTCTGCCCAAAACTTGGTGGTCTTCCAGAGCAAGGAGTTGACTTCAACCAAGTGTTGCAGACTGGCGCATTACAAGGTCCAGGACTATGTGCTGAGGGACGCTTTAAAGCTTGGGGCAGCTGCTACCAAGGTGCAGTGGGGAAAGTCCACTGTCTGAGGTCTTTCTGCTAAAGTTAAATGGGGGCCCATTCAGTTATCGGACCCTCCTGGTGTCTCACATGTATGTAAACATAGTTTTGTATAAGGAAGAAATGCCTTAGATTTGTTCTCCATATGTATAGATTGTACAGAATCGAATTGCTCTAGTGACTATACATACATATAAAGTATATTTTTGAAATGAAAAAAAGATATTGTACAGAACACTTTCTCACTGTACAGAAAACAAAAAAAACAGAAAGAACTGCAGATGCTGTAAATCAGAAACAAGAACAGAAATTGCTGGAAAAACTCAGCAGGTCTGGCAGCATCTGTGGAAAGAAATCAAGAGTTAATATTTTGGTTTGAGTGACCCTTCTTCAGAATTGATGGTAGCTGGGAAAAGGTTGGTATTTATGCATAAGATGGGGTGGGGGGAGGGGTAGGAGTAAACAATATGTGGAGATAGATCTCACAGAGAGAGAAAAAAAGCAATTGGACAGAAAAACAGGTCAGCCTGGGGGAATGAATACCTGCTAATGGGGACTATTAATGGCTGACAATGGGTTGTGTTCGGTAATAGTCCATGTGATGGCAAGACCTGGAGTATGGGGTTTGTGAGTAGGTGCTCAACTAGTTGTTGAGCTCAATATTAAGCCCAGAAGGCTGTAGAGTTCCCAAGTGGAAAATGAGGTGGTGTTCTTCCAGCTTGAGTTGAGCTTCATTGGAGCACTGCAGCAAGCCTGAGGTAGAGATGTTGGCCAAGGAACAATGTGGTGTGTTGAAAAGACTGGTAACTGGAAGCTCGGGGTCTTTGTAATGGACATAACATAGGTGTTTGCAAAGTGGTCACTTAGTCTGTGCTTCATTTCCCCAGTGTAAAGGAGATTACATTGTGAGCAGTGATTGCAGGAGATTACATTGTGTGAAGTGATTGCAGGAGATCACATTGTGAGCAGTGATTGCAGGAGATCATATTGTGTGAAGTGCAGGTAAAACGCTGCTTCACCTGGAAGGTGCGTTTGCGGCTTTGGACAGTGAGGAGGGAGGAAGTAAACGGGCAGGTGTTACACCTTCTGCAGTTGCAGGGGAAGGTGTCGTGGGGCTGTGGGGAGGGGTTGGAAGTGAAGGAGGAGTGGATCAGGGTGTCCCAGAGGGAACGGTCCCTGCGGAATGTTGTCAAGGGTGGGGAGGGGACTATGTGTCTGGTGGTGGCATCCCGCTGGAGATGGGGGAAATGGTGGCTAATGATCCTATTGATATGAAGGATGGTGGGATGGCAGGTGAGGACAAGGGGGACCATATCATTGCTGTGGGAGGGAAGAGAGGGGGTGAGGGCTGAAGTGCGGGAGATGGATTGGACCCAGCTGAGGACCCTGTTAACTACGGTGATGGGGAATCCTCGGTTGAGGGAGAAGGTGGACATTTCAGAAGCTTCCTTGTGGAAGCTAGCATCATCAGGACCAATACCAAGGAACTGGGAGAATGGAATACAGTCTTTACAGCAAGCAGGGTGTGAGAATGTATAGCCCAGGTAACTGTGGAAGTCGGTGGGTTTATAGTGGAGATTAGTGGCCAACCTATCCCCAGAAATGGAAACAGAGATGTCGAGGAAAGGAAGGGAGGAGTCACAGATGGATCAGGTGAAGGTGGGAGTGGGGTGGAAATTGGAGGCAAAATCTTTTCCAATTCCAGATGAGAGAGGGAAGCAGCAACAAAAGTGTCATCAATAAACTGGAGAAAGAGTTGTGAGGAGGGACCCAAGCAGGACTGGAACAAGGAATGTTCCACATACCCCACAAAGAGACAGCCATAACCAGGGCCCATGCAAGTACCCATGGACACATCTTTGACCTGAAGAAAGTGAGAGAAGTTAAAGGAGATGTTGTTCAGAGTGAGAATGAGTTCAATCAGGTGAAGGAGGGTGTTGGTGGATGGGGACAGTTCAGGCCTTTTTTCCAGGAAGATGCAGAGAGCCGAGACTATCCTGATGAGGGATGGATGTAGTAAGGGATTGCATCTCCATACTGAATATGAGGCACTGTACAGAATCCGTCCTCTCTGTACAGGAAATGCCTTGTAATACAGATACTGTACAGAACCCATCCTCAACATAAGGGAGTACTATGTAATATAAGCCAGGTCCAATCCATCTCCCGCAATTCAGCCCTCACCTTCTCTCTTCCCTCCCACAGCAATGATATGGTCCCCCTTGTCCTCACCTACTGTACAGAATCCATGCTCATTATAGAGGGAGCAGGATGTGTTATAGTATGTAGATACTGTACAGAATTCACCCTCATTATACAGGAAATGCTGTGTAGTATAATATTGGAAGTAACTCACCATCCTTATACATTTCCTTTGCCACAACAGTGAGATCATAAAATCTTGCCGCAGTGTAGACATCACCAGCATCTAATGAAATCGCATCTGCCTTGTTTCCCTGGAAAACAGTTTGTTTGTTGTGTCATGTTAGAAACCATTTCAATACAAATGTGTCTCAGGCAAGTATCATATTGGCTGCCAGTTTTAGTAGCAGCTGATATTTAATCTCATTGCTGTTAATGGAACTGAGTATCAGAGATTACATATGATAATCAAAATAACTCCATGAAAGTCGGTATCCCATCACCAAATCACTCTTTATTTACACGTACATTGTACGTGACTCTGATCAAGCTGGCTCAGAGTCAGCTCTTAGAGTGAACAGAACGTCTGACATTCCTGTCTATATCTGGACCCTAACTGGACCAGATTAACAGACCCAATCAGGGAACTCCTAATCTATGAGGTCCACCTGGCCAACCTCGTTCCAATCACTGATCACAATAATGAATGCTGTTCTTTTACCATCAGCACCCAAGACAAGTTTCTAAGTCAATGTACCTGGATAACTTTATCATTTACTAATTCATGTCTTCATGTCATTCATTAATTCTAGCTAAGGAGTAAAGGGTAAATAGAAAACAGGGCGAATGGTCAGCCCATTTTTAAAAGAACAAGTTAAAAAAAAAGGGCAACACAGTGGCTCAGTGGTTAGCCCTGCTGCCTCTCAGCACCAGGGACCCGGGTTCAATTCCAGCCTCAGGTGACTATCTGCCTGGAGTTTGCACATTCTCCCCCTGTCTGCATGGGTTTCTGCTGGGTGCTCCAGTTTCTCCCACAGTCCAAAGATGTGCAGGCTAGGTGAATTGGCCATGCTAAATTGCCCATAGTTTTCAGGGATATGTGGGTTAGCCATGGGAAATGCTGGGTTAGAGGGAAAGGGTAGGGTGATGGTTCTGGGTGGATGCTCTTCAGAGGGTCAGTGTGGACTTGTTGGCCTGAATGGCCTGTTTCCACACTGTAGGGACTCTAGCTAGCATGCCAGTCTTTGATTTCATGGTAACACTTTTGCTTCCATCTTTCACTTTGGTTGTGGGATATAACACTACTTCCTAACTTGGGAACATATTCTAAGATGTCACTTGAAGGCAGTACTGACAGAGTGCTATGTTACTGGGGATGCCACTTCTCAGTGGGCCATTAAACAGAGTTGATATTTTTTTTGCTTCCAGTGAGCATTGAAAATTCTGTGGTTTCTTTTGGAAAGGAGCAGGACATTCCTCCCAGTGTCCTGGTCAGCATTCATTCCCTTAAACACCACCAAAGGATAAATAACGGGCCCTAGTCTCATTGCTGTTTGTGGGATATTTCTGTGAATAAAATTACCAGAAGGAAAAACCAGTAAAACTGGAGAATGAGACATATTGGTTTGTCTGGTATACTTCAAAATTGAGGTCCAGTATGATCATTTCCAAGCACTACTGGTTTTTAAATGGGTTTCCCTCCTTTTTTTTCCCAAATGACAGTCTCTGTCAACAACAGTACATGGTATGGTGCAGTGAAACGTTTCATAGAGGTAGCTACAAATACAGGTATTCACTTTAATAAGTAAATAGGAACTGAAGGCATCATGATTGGTTTTGTTTCCTTACCCGTATCTTCTTGATGCAATCCTTTGTATTGTGCGCTTTAATGCAAGACAACTTGGTGAAAGAATCCTTGGTTGTGGGAGGTAACACTGCCTGCAAGGCTCTGGAAAGTTCAGCACATTTCCTCTGTTCTGTATCAGATAAGTTGCACCACCTGAATTTCTTTGCTGCAGGGTTCAAGACAAGTATTTATATCAGGAAAAGCTTTAGTGATTCTATTCAAAATGGGGCAATGGATCTGATGTGGTCAGCAACACAAAGCTTGGGGACAACACAGAGGCTGGAGCATGTCATAGGTTAGACCTGGTTCAAGAGCTGAGACAGCCTGGGTCCCACATTCCACCCTGTCCAAATTGAACAAGGTTATAAACACTGTGGTATTCATGAAGCAGGTCCTGACACTGACACTCAGCTGTATATATAAAATACTGCAGATGCTGGAAATCTGAAACAAGAAAAGAGACTGGTAGAGAAACTGTCTGGCAGTATCAGTGGAGAGAGAAACAGAGTTAACATTTTGAGTCAGGTCTGAAGAAGAGTCACAGAGTTATAAATTCATATAGTTGTACAACATGGAAACAGACCCATGGGTCCAACTCGTCCATGTCAACCAGATATCCGAAATTAATTTATTCCATTTGCCAACATTTGGCTCAAATCCCTCTAAATCTTTCCTATTCATGTGCCCATCCAGACGCCTTTTAAATGTTGTACAAAAACAAAGTTGCTGGAAAAGCCCAGCAGGTCTGGCAGCATCTGTGACGGAAAAAACAGAGTTAACGTTTCGGAACTCAGAGTTCTGCGGAAGGGTCACCAGACCTGAAACGTTAACTCTGTTTTTCCTTCACAGATGCTGCCAGACCGCTGGGCTTTTCCAGCAACATTGTTTTTGTTCCTGGTTTACAGCATCCACAGTTCTTTTGGTTTTTACTCCTATTTACCTGTGTTTGGCCATTATCCCTCTTATCCTTTTGTATACATGTACTTGTCCAAATGTCTTTTAAATGTTGTAACTGTACCTGCATTTACCACTTCCTCTGGCAGTCCATTCCACATATGAACCATCCTCTGTGTGGAAACGTTGCCCCTCAGGTCCATTATAAATCTTCCTCCTCTCACCTTAAAATTATGCCCCCATGTTTTGGACTCCCCTACCCTAGGGAAAAGACCTTTGCTATTCACCTTATCCAATTCTCCCACGATTTTATAAACCTCTATAAGGTCACTTCTCAACCTCCTGTGCTCCTGTGAAAACAGTCCCAGCCTATCCAGCTTCTCCTTATAACTCAAACCCTCCAGTCCTGGTTACATCTTGTAAAGGGGCAGCATGGTGGCTCAGTGGTTTGCACTGCTGCCTCACAGCCCCAGGGACCCAGGTTCAATTCCACCTTCAGACAACTGTGTGTGGAGTTTGCACATTCTCCCTGTGTCTGCATGTGTTTCCTCTGGGTGCTCTGGTTTCCTCCCACAGTCTAAAGATGTGCAGGTTAGGTAGATTAGGCATGGGAAATGCAGAGTTACAGCAGAAAGATGGGTGTGGGGAGTCTGGGTGGAATGCTCTTCTGAGGAGCAGTGTGGACTTGTTGAACTGAAGGGCCTGTTTCCACACTATAGGGATTCTATGATAAATCTTTTCTGCACCCTCTCAAGATTAGTAATATCATTCCTATAGCAGGGCAACCAGAACTGTACACAGTACTCCAAAAGTTGCCTCACTAATGTCCTGCACAATTGCAACAGACATCCCAACTCCTAAACTCAATGTACATTGGGGGCTGTGTATAGCTGTTGCAGCTTTCCAAGCATTGATAATGATATGGTTGAGCCCCAGGAACGTTGGGGTGAATGCCTTGTTTGGATGAATTAGGAGATCTGCCTAAATTGGATTGCTGGTCCATGTATGCTAGCACATTGCTCTAAACTAGAAATTGTAATTGATTTTATAAATCTGTATAAGGTCACCTCTCAAGCTCATATTCAATGAGGTTCTGTGACCAGCGAATCTGATTTATTTAATCTATCTAAACTTTGACCTGCCTCCTTCAGCAGCTACAGGCCTTGAGCGCGGTCAGCTGGAGGTCCGGTGAGTGGAAGTGGCTGTGGACGTGGAGGGGGATCAGCTGGAGGTCCATGCAGGGAAGCGGCCGTGGGCCCAGTGCCGTTTCGGATGGAGCTCCATGCGGGGAAACAGCAGTAGGCCCGGAACAGCTTCGGCTGGATGTCAAGTTCGGGGAAGCGACTGTGGGCCTGAGCCCAATGAGGTTAGAGTGAGCCCTAAGTGTCAGTGAGGAAGGCCCCTGGCATCTGCGATGTCGAGAGCAGGAAGCCTGGGGTTTCCTGGAGAGTGGGCCAAAGCGGAGGAGACCGAGCTCTTGCAGGGAGTGCACTTAAGAAAGACTATTTAACTTTTACCTTTATTCCTTTATTTTTCCACTTAATACGTGAAGGACTGTAATGTTAACTGTAATGTTTTAACTTTATCTCTTTATTTTTCTACTTCTACTAAGAGCAATCATGATGTTTTACTTTTAACTTTGTTTTTCTATGTGAGTACCTTGTAACTAAGTTTTGTACCTAGATGTCTTCATACCTAAGATGGCGCTCTGTGTGGCTACATTGTACACTTTTCACTGTACTCCTATACTTCCGCAGTTGAGTAGACTTGACAATAGAACTTAAATCAGTTCAAAATTCAGACGCACTCAATCAGTTACAAAATCCATGACGGTCTATGATACTAGTTGGTGCCCTTTGTGCAGAACTTCTCTTAATGGAAACTTAGATAATGGATAGAAAATCTTGATGAGTTCAAATTTCAGTATTGACATGCGATGGGGTACATCAAACTTTAAAATATATCCTTCCAAGAGGGCAGATATATTTCGTAACACCAGAACCTTATTATTTATTGGTAAACTGGATTTAGTCACTGGTGAAAGATTCCAAGAGATGAACTTCTGGTCTGATTTGAATAGATGGTTAATGATCATCCTATCAGCATCAAAAGCAGAAATGCCCTTAAGACCTTGTAAAAATTGAAAGTCAAGTTGTCTATTGCCATTTTTATCCATTTTTTTACAGCTGAGTTGTAGCTCTCTTGCCTCTGAGTCAGAAATCATCCATTGAAGTCCTAACCCAATATTGAACACAACATCTAGGCTGATCCCAAACATTCCTGACAGAGTGTTGCACAAACAGGATCTCTTCTTTTGAATGCAGTATTCAGCCAAAGCCTCTCCCTGGTGAATGTAAAACATCCCACTGCATTATTTTGAAGAAGAGTAGCAGTTGTCTTCGCTCCTGCTTATGTCTTGGCTGATAGTTTTTCTTCAGATTATCTGTTGGTAGGGACATTGAAGTGCACAAATTGCCTGCTATGTTTCCTACATTGTGACATTGACTACATTTCAAAAGTGCTTATCTGGCTGTAAAGTACTTTGGAATATCCTGAAAGGTGTGAAAATCTTATCTAAATAACAGTTTTCTATCTTACCAATCAGACCACTTCATCTCACTTAAATGATGGTGAAGGTAAACACTGCATTTCATGTCCTTAACCTGCATGATTTTCCTCTTTCCTGCCAATCCCAGGAACCATCAAGATTCAGGGTGGTTACACATTCTGAGACAATAGGCGTACACTTTACAAGGTTGGAAGAGAAAGGGCTGAGTACTCCTTTCCTTTCTTCGGCCCCAGGAGATTATTTAGTAGCATATTAAAATCTTGCAAATGGCACACCCTTCCTGTGCATGTCAATCTGATGTTCTAACTCATGATTATGAGTCTCATTTTGAATGTTAACACTTATACATTGACAACGTTTATGCCAATATTCTTAATATCATGCATATGTCAACATCTGGCAGCCATGCTTTTTGAATAAAATGTCTCATCAGCTTTCAAATAATAGATGGCACTTCTGTGTTGACCTGTTATGTCTCCCACATCCTCTGCCCTGCTTGCCACAAAACTCAGGGCAACAAACTAAGACGTATCGAAAAGCATAATCAACCCTTGAAATAGCATGAATTCAGTGTATATTTTAAAAACCTTCTGATCCTGTTCCAGTTCATGCTTGCAATGTTTGCATTATCCCACTTCTCCCTGTTCAGCTCATAATTCTGCCTGTGACTCTGCTCCTGTTGTACTTAGGATCTGTAATCTATCAATATTTTAAATCTGAAGTCAGGCCTGGCCCACTCATCTCTTGGTACCTCTCAGCTATTACAACTCTGGACTTCTTCCATCTTTGCAAAAGTCTCTTCTCAGCCCATTTCTAACATACTGACATTTCCTTGTCCTGGTTCTGGACCAGCTCGTGTTAGGAACAAATACATAACTCATCACAATGTTTTCAGACTCTGGGACTTGTCTCTTCATTATCCTTAGATTGCGAAGCTCCTCTCCCTAAGTCTGTGAAACACACAATCTCTTCTAGACTTATCTAAATATTTGTCTTTATTGAGACCACCACAATCAACGTAGCTAAACTAAACGTTCAGCTTTGCTGAGATGCTTCCTGACCTTATCCTTTCCTTAGATACCCTTGCCCTCTTTGCCTTACGGGTGTGCTCTCTCCTGGATGCCAGCCCATGAGTTCTCTTACTCAATTTAGGTCTAGTAGAACTCTGTTGCTGTCTTGAGTCCGCATACCAGCAGCAACTACAATGGCTTTTTGGCCTGGATCGTGAAGAAAATTTTAACCATTTCGCCCAGGCGTGGCTTTGTTTTGAGGTTTTGCTGTGGGCTGACTTAGATTTCTTCTGTTCAGGATATGTCCTGAGTGAGGCTATGCAATTGTCTTCACTCAAGTGGTGTTCCCCAAGCTCAGTCAGCCTGGCGAGGGTGTCCACTTCTATTGGAATACGCTGCAACTCATATGCTCCAACGCATATGCTCCACTGCTGCATTTTCCAATGATAAACCCAGTTGTAATGTCTGTTTGAAGTCCAATTGGGCTTCAGCTAGTAGGCACTTTTGTACACAGACAAACCAAACATTCAGCTTTGCTGAGATGCTCCTGACCATATTCTTGCCCAAGATACCTTTGCCCTCTTTGTGCATGTAGATGAAGAGATAAGGAGTAACATATCTAAAACAAAACAAAGAACTATGGATACTGGAGATCATAAATTGCTGGAAAGTCTCAGTAAATCTGGCAGCATGTGTGGAGAGAAAGCAGAGTTAATGTTTTGGGTCCAGTGACCCCTCCTTAGAACACACTGGAGCTACATTGGAGGTGGTACAATTAAAGTTCATTAAATTGGTCCTGGGGTGCAAATGTTGTCTTATAATGAGAGGCTGAGTAAATTAGGTCTAATTCTCCAAAGTTCATTAGAACGAGAGGTGATCACATTGAAATCTACAAGATTCTTAAGGGGGGTGATAGGACGGACCCCAAAAGATTGTTTCTGTTTATCAGGGAATCTAAAACACAAGGATACAGTCTCAGGATTAGGGGCTGATAATTTAGGACTCAGAGAAGAAAGTACTTCATTGAAGAGGTTGTTAATCTTTACAATTCTCTACCCTAGCATTGTCAAAGTTCCATCAATGAATAGATTACAGGTTGGGATGGACAGATTTCTTTTTGTCTCTCAGGCAATCAAAGGATATGGGGAGCAGATAGGTTAAGTATATTTGATTAGAATTAGAATTAGGTTTTATTGTCATGTGTACTTAAGTACAGGGATACAGGAGTACAGTGAAAAGTTTACAATGTCGCCATTAACAGCACCATCTCAGGTGCAAGGTACCTAGGTACAAAATCTTAGGTAAAGTGTAGAAAAATAAAGTATTTAAGTTTGAAGTGTAAGGTCGCCCATGATCATATTGATTGGTGAAGCAAGCTTGATGGACCATTTGGTCTACATATGTTCTGGCAAAGCACCTATCTCCTAAAAGTCCAAAAAGCCCCTTCTCAATCTCACTGACATTTTCTTCCTATTCCTTAAAGTGTTTTCAGTCAGCCAGGATATTACGGCAACCCTATCCTCACAGTCTTAAAGTCATAGTAGATTCAGAGTACCAAAAAAACCAAAGAACTGCAGATGCTGGAAACCAGAAATGAAAATAGAAATTGCTGGAAAAACTCAGCACGTCTGGCAGCATCTGTGGAGAGAAATCAAAATTAACATTTCAGGGCCAGTGACTCTTCCTTAGAACTGAACTGGACCCAAAACATTAATTCTACTTTCTGTGCACAGATGCCAGACCTGCTGAGTTTTTCCAGCAATTTCCGTTTTTGTTCTAGATTCAAAGTGTCAGATTGTAGAGGAAAACTTCAGTTACAGTGCAGTAGAGTACATAAGTTCAAATATATTTGAGGAGAAGACAGACAGAACATTCAGCAGTATTTAAGCTAGTTCTGTATTCTGTTTATTATAACAGGATAATCATTTTGGGGGAATTAATTGTGATGTAAATGGTTAATTATATACCTTTACTCTCATAACAGATAATAACAATGTGTAAAGTCAATTATATGCAACATATCATTACAACCATGCACAGACAGAATATTAACGTGAACTTGACACATTTAGATGAAAACGTCAATCCTTGGAAACAGTCTTCAACTACAAGATTTAACTAGAGTCCATCAACTGTAAGCAACTAATAGACAACCATTTGGGAACAAGGTTTAGGGACAACATGGGGGCAGCATGATAGCTCAGTGGTTAGCACTGCTGCCTCATAATGCCAGGGACCCAGGTTCGATCCCACCCTCAGGTGGCTGTCTGTGTGGAGTTTGCATTTTCTCCCTATGTCTGCGTGGGGTTCCTCCAGGTGCTCTGGTTTCCACCCACAGTCCAAAGATGTGCAGGTTAGGTGGTTTGGCCATGTGTTATTGCCCATAGTATCCAGAGATATGCAGGCTGGGTAGATTGGCTACGGGAAATGCAGGCTGGTGTGGTGGGTTGGGTGGACTTGATGGGCCAATTGGCCTGCTTCCACTGTAGGGATTCTATGATCTACCCTCTCCTCTCCCCCATGACTCCTGATTCCCTTGCCTAACAAGAATCTATTCAGCTCTGTCTTACAAATACTCAATGGTTTCATCTCCATCACCTTTCTCATTTCTGTCCTGAAAAGGTGACAGTGCCACCTAGTTCTGGACTAACACACAAGAGGAAACATCCTTTCCACATCTGCCTCGTCAAGACCATGTGACTCATAAACACACCTAGAGCACACTCAAGATGTTCTCTCACTCTATAGGAAGGGCATCAAACTTTGCAGCTTCCAGAAACACAGAATGTCTTAATGAACTGCAAACTTGAGTATCAAAACAAGCTCAAAAAAGTTAAAGTTCAACACAAATTGGAACCTATCTCAAAGAGACTAAGCATGAAGTTATACTCATCAATGTGAAAAACTGTCATTTTCCACAGCTACAGTGGTGCAATTCAGGCCAGGGTCCCCAAAACTCACCCAGGTCTCTGAATTAACAGTCCAGTGATAGTACCACTAGGTCATCACCTCCCATTGTCCAATATCAATTATCCAATCGCCAATGTGAGCAAGACCTTGGATTTCTCAAGAAATTAATTATATCAAATCTCATTAATCTTCACAGGGGATCACAATTCCTCACTTTTGTTGATCTAGCTGAAACTCCCATTAAGAGCTGGTCTGTCATGGACTGTCTCAACAATTGCTCAAGTTCTGGTTGATTACTTTCCTTTCCTCAGCCTACACTCTGAAAGTGCACTCTTGTAATCATTTTTGAGCATAACTCCAGTTTTTCACCAACAGTTTGCCTCACTAACCCAGTCCTGCCCTAGGTTTTCATCCAAGTTTCAATCCTGCTCAATTGTATCAAGGAAATACTGCTTATAAGCATTTCAACACCACACTCTCAACTTCCCTGAAGAACTAATTCTCTCAGGCTTCTTCCAAACCCCTCATGGATTTCCCAACACAGAGTCAATGATCTTCCTACTTTCAAAGCTTTCCAGGACCTCTGCTGAGTCCTGACTCCAACACTTAGCTGCCTACTAATTCCAGAGTTTCTTTCTGAATTCTGAAGCCACAAAGCCATCCAATGGCTCTTGATTTCTCACCAAGTCCTCTACCAAAGGATTTGTATAGTTCAGCTACTTTCCTTGTAGTACAGCCAACTGCAGCATTCTTAACACGGAGACTACATCTCTTTGCCTGTCTCTTCCTCCTTCTCCCACTCATTGCCTGTAACATCTGGACTCCTCTCCAATAACTCCTGGAACAATCCCGAGTGATCTATCGAAAGCCTTGCAATAAGCCTCTATTGCAGGGGAAAACTGAATTATGCGACTTAACAAATCTTTGAACTATCAGTTCCATAATTGTTATCTAACATAGGTAGCAGTTGCCCAGTACAAAATAAATGAAACAAATAGAGGATTTCATCACAAGTCTCAGAATATCCAAAAACACTTTTCAGCCAATTAAGTACTTCGAAGTTTAGTCACCGTTATAAATTGCATTGCCAGTATTTGGAACAGCCAAGTGCATTACAGCACAAATGTCTGTTTTTACAATGCCTTTGAAATGACAAAACAATGTGCTTCAAAGGATAATTGTAAAGCAAAACTGGACACTGAGACATACAAAAGGGTACTTTTAAGATAAAAGCTTGGTCAAAGAGGCTTGTTTTAATGAGTGCCTTAAAGGAGGAAAGAAAAACAGAGAATTCCTAAGCTTAGGTAGCTGAAGGCATTGCCACTTATGGTGGAATGATTACAATTGGGGATGCTCAAGAGGCCACAATTAGAGGAATGCTGATATCTCAGGAGAATTGTGGTTTTAAGGGATTGCAGGAATAGGGAGGGCAAGGAAACAAAGATGAGAATTTTTAAATTCAGGTATTGTTTAACCAGAAGCCAACATAGCTCAGAAAACGCTGGGGTGATAGGCAAACAGGATGTTGTGGGAGTTAGGACATGGGCAACAGTTTTGGATGATGTCAAGTTTATGGAAAGTAGAGTTTGAGTGTCTAGCCAGAAGTGAATGAGAGTAATCAAATCTAGAGGTAACCAAAGCAGAGCCTGAGACAAGGTCAAGGTTAGGCAATATTATCAAGGTGAAAATATATGGTTAGTAGCTCATCCCAGGGTCAAATGTAACACCAGAGCAGCAAACATTTTCGTTCATCCTCAGTCTGTTGGACAGAGTTATGGCTAGGATGCAAAGTTTCTGACAGGATGTGAAGGCAATTGCTAGTAAATTATACAGTGTAGTATATTACACAGAGAAGTACTTAACACTACATTATGCAATGAAGTATATTAACCAGCACGAGCTAGATTGTTCTAGCTGTATAAATTCAAGAAAGCAAACTTACCAAAAGCAATTGCAATAAAAGAGATGAAAACAATTGCTCCTTTCATAGTGAAATGTCTAATATTTCTCTTCGCCTCTCACCACCAATCTCCTGTGACAGATTCCAGCAAATGCAAGGTGTGGTGCAGGGTACAACGCAGATAGAGAGCTGCATGCATTCCCAGTAAGATACAAACCGCATTCCAAACTGCCTCTGCTAACGTCTGGGTCCAAAGCAATTTTAGGGGTGGAAAGCAATGTCCTATCCTTCAAAATAATGATATTCAGGAGCTATTGGTAACTGGGTTTGAAATCACAAATCTTCATATGGAAATCATTATCTTTCTTTTTCTTTATTGCAACCAGACTGTGGTCAGAAGTTGAAAGGGATGGAAACTGGCAATACTGTACACAATTGTCAAAATCTCAGTATAGTTCTACTTTGCAGCATTTTAACTGTTTCAGGGCTATGGTTCTAATTACAGCAAATTTTCTGGATACAGAAAAAGATTATTAAAGAAAGTTCAAAACTCTGCCTACCCCATCAAAGTAGGTAACACAAAATCTTGAGGTCAAATGTTTGGAAGGTTCCAGGTTCAAAAATTGTTGGTTTCAATAAAGAAGAAGAAAATTCCACTTTCTATTCCACATGCCTCTGAGTCAGAAGTTTTGGGTTCAAGTCCTACTCCAGAGCTTGATGGTTATGGAAGACGCATTCATTCCTTGGCCAAACAGGTGGAGTATCAATTTGTAAACCTTTCCGACATACTCCAACAACAGCAGGAAGTGCAGAAGAGATTCCTGGTCAGATACTTGATGGAAAGCAACCTATTCGGAGCTTTAGAACTGCGACATACAGCCACACAGACTCCTTGGAGCTAGTAGGGAGCTGACCGATTGAGTTGGCTGGACAGTTGGTATAGATCAGATTTGAGCCAACAGCACGGGACTCCATCCCCATTCTGGCAGGGGTAGATTTAGGATTGGCTGTCTGAGAGCAGCATGGTTAGCACTGCTGTCTCACAGCACCAAGGACCCAGGTTTGATTCCACCCTCGGGTGACTGTCTGCATGGGTTTCCTCCCACAGTCCAAGGATGTGCAGGTTAGGGTGGATTGGCCATGCTAAACTGCCCATAGTGTCCAGGGATGTGCAATCTAGGTGGATTAGCAATGGGAAACACAGGGATAGAGTGGGAGGGATAGTTCTGGTGAGATGCTCTTCAGAGGGGTAAGTGTGGACTCAATGGGCTGAAGAGCCTGCTTCCACACTGTAGGGATTCTATGATTTTTGCACTTCCTGTGAGGGAGATCATGGTGCTGTGTGTTGGACATGCTTTCAGGCAGAGAACTGACAAAGAACTTCATTGGATATTTTACAACACTTTTCTCAGGTGCCTCTTTTCATGGAAAGTGTGAGCTTTTATTAACCATTCCATACAGCTCATCCCTCTGACACTTGGGAGTTTCTCATAACCAACCCATGGAGTGGATGCTTCCTCTGTGACTCGATGGCCAGAATTGAAAACTGTAAAGAAAAGAAGAAAGGCTTGTATGTACATAGCAACTTTCAAAACCTCAGGATGTCCCAAGGTAACCTGGAGCTGATTAAATACCATTAATCTGTAGTCACTGTTATAACGTAGGAAAAAAGGCAGCCAACATTCACAAACAATAGTGACAATGATGTGCAATATTTAGTAATTTTGTTTGAGGGGTCACTGTGGGTACTGATGCGATGGGACTTTTTACATCCATCTTGCAGAGGGCAGACAGGTCCTTGTTTTATGTCTCACCTGCAAGAAGGCAGCTCTAATAGTGCAGGACTCCCTCAGTACTACACTGGAGTGACAGCCTGGATTGTATGCTTCATTCTTGAGTGGGTCGGTCCTGAACCTTCAAGCTTGTGACTCTGTGAGAATGAGATGTGTTTCTGGAGAAACAGAGAGGGGTTTGATGGATGTGGTGACAATGCAGTTATTCTTTCTTAAACTTGAGGAATGTCAAAGCCATATAACAAGATGTGCTTGACCGAGAAGTATCTGAAAGCAGGAAAAAGAGGTTTTTGTTATTTATTCACTGACAGCTTATGTAACAGGCAAGTAACATTGTTCCTAAGCTGCGTGTGCTTGCAACCACACAGCAATCCAAAACATATTGCACTGTGGACAATCAGGTCATCGCCCCTTTAAGATTTGTGTATATGTAGCCATGTAGCAACTTTAAGGGAACCACACAGTGCAACAAGTATGACATATATAGAAAAAGGAAATTGGAGGGATCATCACTGACAAGGCCAACACTTATTACCTATTCCAACACTTTTAAGAAGGTGGTGGTGAGCTGCCTTCTTGAAATGTTGCAGTCCCAGTAGTGAAGATAGAATAGAATCCCTACAATATGGAAGCAAGCCACTCAGCCCGTTGCATCCACACTGATCTTCTAAAGAGCAGCCCACCCAGACCCATTCCCCTACCCTCTCCCTGTAACCCAACATTTCCCATGGCCAATCCACCTAACCTGCACATCTTTGGACTGTGAGGGGAAATCACAGCACCTGGAGCAAACCCACACAGACAAGGGGAGAATGTGTAAACTCCACACAGACAGTTGCCCCAGGCTTGAATCAAACCCAGGTCCCTGGCAGTGTGAGGCAGCAATGCTAACCACTGAGACACTGTGCTGCCCATACTTTCACAGTCTTGATAGGTAGTGATCACCAGAATATAGACCCAGCAAAAGTCATAAAATGGCAATATATTTTGAAGTCAAGTAGGCGTGTGAATTGAAGGGGACTTGTAGGTGGCAGTGCGGAAGAGAGAGGATGGCGTTTGGCAGCAAGATGGTGGCATGGATGCACAAGGATCAAGAGATCGAGCCCAGTGTGAGAGATAGATCGAGCCCAGCGTGGGAGAGAGATCAAGCTATCATGGGGAAAGCCTAGCATGCAGGCCCATGACTAAAGAAGCACCATAATTTGGAACTTTTAATTTTATTTCTTTTAATTTTATGCTGAGAACTGTAGTGTTGAACTTTTAACTTATTTCTTTATTTTCTACTTTTTACCTAAGATTTTGATCCTAGGTACTTGTACCTAAGATGGCGCCATGTGGGGTGACATTATACATTTTTCACCATACTCCTGTACCCCTGTACTTGAGTACACGTAACAATAAAACTTAATTCCAATTCTAAAGTTCCATGCCTCTGCTGTCCTTGTTTTTCCAGATGGAGATGAAGAGGATTATTTTCTTGCAGAGGTTGTTTCTCTGTGGCTTTTTTTTTGCAAGAGAGTCGTGAATTCAGGGCGATTAAATATTTTTAAGGCTGTGTCAGAGAGATTCATGACTGACAAGGGAGTCAAAACATGTATGAAGTAGAAAGGACAGAAGAGGTTACAAACAACAGTGATGATATCAGCAAAATGGGTGAAGCAGACTCCAGGGATTATGAAGCTTATTGCTGCTCCTAATTCATTAGTATGTTCATATGTTCTAAGCAATAGAGGCTAAAGGTTTAGGAGGCTCTTTCAAAAAAGTCTTACCAAGTTGCTGAAGTGCCTCTTGTAGATGTTAGGCACTGTGTCACAGTGTATCTGTGACGGAGGTAGTGTAAGGTGGTAGGATGAGATCCCAATCAAGCTGCTTTGTCCTGGGTAGTTGCTTGAGTTTCTTGAGTGTTGTTGGGGCTGTGCTCATTCAGTCAAGTGGGGAATATTCCATCACACTGCTGTATTGTGCTTTGTAAATTGTGGATAGGCTTTGGGAAGTCACTCATTGGAAATACTCAGTCTCTAATTTGTAGCCAGAAGTATTTATTTGGTTGATCTAATTATGTTTCTGGTCAATGGTGATACCCAGGATGTTGACAGTAAACAATTCAGTGATAGAACTGTCAAGGGGCAAGGATTATATTTTCTCTTGTTAATGTGTGACATTGTATGACATGAATGTTACTTGCCACTCATCACCACAAGCTTGAACATTGCCCATGAACTGGTTTATTATGTGAAAAGTTGCAAATGGAATTAGACACTCAGCAGTTCTCAATGAAAATCCCCACTTCTCACCTTACGATAGAGGAAAGATGATTAACAAAGCAGCCGAAGACAGATGGGCCAAGAACACTGCGCTGAATGATATTCTTGGTCTGAGATGATTGCCCTAAACCATATGATTCCAGCCAATGCAGAGAATTTCTTTCATGTCTGTTAATTTCAATGTAATTGTAGCTAATGTCTATCTCAGTTAAATGTGGCCTTGATGTCAATGTCAACTTCTCATCTCACCTCTTTTGTTCATGTTTGAACAAAGCCTGTAATGAAATATGGAGTTGAATGGTTTTGGCAGAACCCCCAAATTAAGCATTGGTCAGCAGGTTACTAGTGACTAGATGCTGCTTAATAGCCATCCTAACAACCTCTTCTATCGCTTTGCTGATGACTGACAGTAGGCCGACAGAGCAGTGATTGGATTTCTCCTGCATTTTGCAGGCTGGACAAAGCTGAATAATTTTCCAATTTGTCAAGGAAATGCCTCTGATGTAAGTGCACTGGAACAGGTAGACTAGAGGCATTGCCAGTTCTGGAACATCAGTCTTCAGCATTGCAGCCAAGATGTTGCTTAATAGAAAGTCAATTCAAGGGAGTTGGGTTTAATGGAAACTCTTGCCAGTAAAGACACAAGCAGCAAATGTTTGAATGATGGCAAGCTTATGGAAGTGGACGATGAGATTCCATCAGCTGGATGTTGGTACAGTCAACTTGAAAGGCAATAAAGGCAGGGATCAAGATTTCAGTAGTTGAACTGGGGCAGAGACAAAGCTGGGCACAATAGGTGACATAGGTAGTCTTAGTGATCATGTGAATCTCCTTCCCCAAAGACACCCCCTTTTCCAGAAAGGGTACATTTGACTCCTCTAGCTGCCCTCCCTCACCATCACCATCTGCTCAAGCCCCCCTTCTCAGTCAGTGACCTCCCTCACCATC